GTGTTGGAGCATTCACAACTTCTGGAGGCAAGTTGTTCCACTGGTTAATTGTTCTCACTGTCAGGAAATTTCTCCTTAGTTCTAGGTTGCTTCTCTCCTTGATGAGTTTCCATCCATTGCTTCTTGTCCTGCCTTCAGGTGCTTTGGAGAATAGCTTGACTCCCTCTTCTTTGTCTCAACCCCTGAGATATTATTGGAACACATTATTGGAACAATTGAGCCCCAAATTTCAGTTCCTAAGTGTGACATTTGATAAGTGAGTTTTGTCCCATTTTATGACCTTTCTTGCCATGTTTGTTAAGTGAATCACTGCAGTTGTTAAATTAATAACACACTGATTAAATAACTCTGGTTTCCCCATGAATTTCGCTTGTCAGAAAGTCACAAAAAATGACCACACAACTCTGGGACACTGCAACTGTCATAAATATAATTCAGTTGCCAAGTATCCAAATTTTGCTCACATGACCATGGAGATGCTGCATTGGTCGTAAGTGTGAACAATGGTTATAAGTCACTTTTTTCAGTGTGATTTTACCTTGAAACAGTCACTAAATGAACTGTTATAAGTTGAGGGCTACCTGTATCCAGTGAATGCTAAAGGCATAATAATACAATTAGTCAAAGTATATTAACCAATTCCAACAACTTTGATCTAAAATGGCAATATTTATGTAAAATTTGATTGGATCAACCATCCCTACATTTTTTACTATGCAATCATAGGTTCTTTCACATTGATAGTGACTGCAATGTGATGAAATGAATACAAGACAGCGATAAAAAAAACCAATTGCCGTATATGTTTAATAACAAAACATAAGCTGATAATATTGTTGTGGTGCTGAGTAGCCAGAAGCATTGAGTGATGCTGATGTTCTAATGATATCAACCCAATATGAATGTTGCTAGTAATTCTGTAGACATTTGCATCAAAGTTGTTCTTCAATTTGCATAATCCTGTGTGTAAGATAATGGAACCCTGGAGGTCCTTATTTAACAGTCATCAGAAATGGCATTTTTACACATTTGGCACCATTTCATTAGGTAGCATGAACAAGAGAATTAATATATGGTTTTCTGGTCTCTGTCATTTGTTTCACACTGTAATTCCTTGAATGCTATTAAAGTGTTAAAATGGTAGGCATCTTCTGATACTTCCCCAGGTGACAATATGTACTCCCTCTTAACTGATCTCAGAAGCTAAGCAAGGTTGTACATAGGTTGTACATAGGACTTAAATAAGGTCAACAGAAATGACTAAGGCTGTAGACTAGGGGTGTAAAACTTGTTCTGACCAAGCTCCCCAAACACAACATACCCCCTGAAGTGAACTCAGAAGGTGCCTTTATCAGGAATGCCGGCAGCCCCAGCAAAAATGCAGGCTAGCAAGTCCCACTGGCCAGAAGATAGTTGTCTGCCACATCTTCACCCCGCTGCCTTTTATCCCCAGAGCTACAGGTGGGGCCTTGCTAGCAGTGGTGCCTTGCCCTTCCCCAGGATCGACCCATGGCTTTCCTCCCCTTCTTTGCCTTCTGTGCAGTCACATATCAGGCACTGGACCCAGCTGTTCTTCCTCTTCCTCATCAGCCACCTCCAGACCTGGGGACTGTTGACTCTCCATCTGAGGGCTGACAGATGGCCCAGGTTCTGCTGGAGGGGCCGGTGGCCGACAGGCCACAACACTCATGATGACACATTGTCATCATGTGATGTATCACAACTTTTCCCCCTCCAGTAAAATGGGAGTGGGTGTGTGGCCAGCATGTGATGCATCTGACCCATGGGCTGTGAGTTTGACACGTTCTAGACTATACTGGAAAGCCAAAGAGATACCCAGAAGAAGGTAACAGGCAAACATTTGTATACCATTGCCAAGAAAATTAAGTGGGTGTAGACATGATCGGGAAATGGGCTGCCCTATTCTCCAAAGCTTGTCCTGAAGGAAGGACAAGAGGCAATGGATGAAAAGCATCATACATTGCACTTCAATGTTATTATATGCTCTTTGCTTAAGATATGTTAGGTGAATCCTGCAATTATTTATCCCATGAATTATCAAGTTGCAGAGAATAGGGGAAAAAGTTCAGTCTCTTTCTTTCATCTTTACTGTATCAATTTCTCCGCTGGTGTCCATTTGAAGTCCTTCAACTAATATCTTCATATAGAACAGTCAACCAATGGAACGGCTTGACTTAAACATTGTGGACACTCCAACACTGGAGGTTTTTAAGAAGAGATTGGACAACCATTTGTCTGAAATGGTTGTTGTGGTTAGCCGGCAGCAGGTGCAGATGGCTGAGGAGAGTAATGACTCAGATGAGGGACCAGGACCATCAGGGAGTGGACTGCTGCCTTCAGGGATTGTGGGGGCTGGCAGCAGCGATGAGGAGGTTCCCGAGGAGCCAGTGCCAAGTGCGCGTGAGTGCAGGATGATTCGTAGAAGAGAACAGCTGGAGCAGCACAGGCATAATGGCCCCTCCCTCCAGGGAATATGAGCCTGGTTTCAAAAGTTTTTTGCTTTTGCAGAAAGCAAAAACGCTCTAAGGACTCAGCATTGTGTGTGGAGACCCTGGCTTATCTGAAGAATTCTGTCAAGGCTTTTCTGGTTGGACTAATTGGCTGCAAGCCATCTTTTATCTACAAAGAAGTTATTTGTAGATTAAAGCTGAGAAGGTTTGAGTTGCTGCGTTTGTTTGAGATTTTCTTGCTGGTAACAGGGTTGGGTCAGAACAATGGTACTGAATTTCCTGCCTGAACAGGAGGTTAGACTAGAAGGCCTTCAATGTCCCTTCCAATTCTGCTGAATCTGTTGGGGGAAAAAAAAAAAAACTTCAGACATTTTCTGGTCCTTGTCTCCTAGTCATTCTGAAATGTGTAAGAATAATGAGTGTGATATATTTAATAAGAAATGCAAAATACAGTGAATCTCTGGCTGAATTTCATAAAGACTCTAGAATGCTCTTTAAATTTTGCCTTTCCAGGACACAGAGGTTACATGTTGTTGTTATTGTTTTCCTATCAATGAAAAATCAAGACACATGTTGAGAGTTAATTTGGCTGTTGCACAGTTTCCACTCTAGATGGCATTGTTGATCTTTGGAAAAGAAAATGAAAATAAAACTTGATTTTGTCCATAAGTAGCTTATCTACTGTATAGCCAAATAGCCAGACATATATAGGGATCCATAGAAATGAATCTTAGGTGAATTGTAAATAATGCATGGATTGAGATCTTGATAGGGAAAAGAATGATCACGAAGCTACAACCTGGCTGGCATAAGTGTTACTCAGAATTAATTCGAAATCTAGACCAACCAGGATATATAACTATAGATAATTCCCCTTAAGATTTTGCTGTACTATGAAGATATATAATAATTTGAGTTTTTATTGCGTGGACGGCAGAAAGGTTTTAGCAAAAATAAACACAGATTTTATGAAGCCCAAGAATTTGTTTTAGAAACATTGAACATGAATATTGGAAAAGGGGAAATGTGAATAGAACAGCTATTCTTGCAATTGAGAAGCTATAGAATCACTCTAATATGGAGAGAGAGAAAATTCCGCGGAAGGAATTTGCTTGAAATCATGTTAATCACAGAGCAGTTCCAACACGCAGACTTAGGGACTAGTAAAGTGGCAT